GGCACTATAGTGGTCCTTTAGGGTTCTGTGGGATACTTCCCTCCTTGGGTCAAAGCTGGTCAAGTGTAGGAAAAATACATAAGACAAAGTAGTCCACACTTTGTGCTGTGTTTTAAAGAAAACTAGATCAGAAAGATAGAAACGAAGAACAGATCCTGAGAGAGGAAGAGAAGAGGAAGCAATTGGGGAAAGGTGAGTTCGCTTTAAGATATCTTCTGATTGTGTGGTAATACAGATTTTTTTCATAATGATTCTATCTTTATGAAAAGCTCAAAAGCAGAGCAGGATTCACCGTGAGCTGAACTTAAGCACCCACCTAGGGCAGGGGTCAGCAACCTACGGCACGTGTGCCATGCACGGCACTCTAGGTGCTTTTAAATGGCACTTAAAGGACCACTCTAGGCACCCAGACCACTTCAGCTTAATGAAGTGGTCTGGGTGCCAGGTCCCTCTATGATTAACCCTTTTTTTTATAAACATAGTAGTTTCAGAGAAACTGCTATGTTTATAATAGGGTTAATCTAGCCTCCAAATCCTCTAGTGGCTGTCTCATTGACAGCCGCTAGAAGCGTTTGCGTGATTCTCACTGTGAAAATCAGTGAGAACACGCAAGTATCCATAGGAAAGCATTATAAATGCTTTCCTATGAGACCGGCTGAATGCGCGCGCAGCTCTTGCCGCGCGTGCGCATTCAGCCGAAAGGGAGGAGAGGAGGCGGAGAGGAGGAGAGCTCCCCGCCCGACGCTGGAAAAAAGGTAAGTTTTAACCCTTTCCTCTCCCTAGAGCCCGGTGTTTTCCTGCCACTATAGTGGTCCTTTAAGGCTGCCAAAGCTAAACTGGCTCTGGCCCATCAAGAGTCCTTAGTACAAACTGAGTGGTTAGGGGCAATCCTCAATTTACGCATTTCAGCACTTATAGGAATTAACCTCAGATCACTTTATTCCAGTACTTGTGAATGGGAATCTGCACTGGATTAGAGCATCTTACAGAAGATACTGCAGCTCCTGCCCTTAACCTGTACCTGGTCAGCCCTATCCCCACTGACCGCAGGGAAACCTCCCACACTGCTAGATATACACTGAACTTCCGAATAAGTCTCCCCCTCATACAAATAATACAATCATCCCCCACACACAAACACATCCACACAACACCACTGACAATCCACATACATGCACACAGCCCCACAAGCAGCCCCTCACATACACACACCAAACACACATTGTGACATATTACACAAGCAACCCCCATACACAGCCCACTTTTACAGGGATTATATACAATACCACAAACTACTCATGAACGAATACTTTACAATATAACGGCTCACACATGCACAAGTACAACGCTACAAAGCAACGGCAGCACCCATGAATAACACAAGCAAAATACGGCAATATATTACACACGTCAGTTTTAAAACAGAGGATCGGCACGCCGAGAGACTTCAAAATCTTATTTTGGCACTGTACTACAGAAAGCTTGCCAATCCCTGACCTAGGGCTTTGGTGTTGGTGTTAGGGGTTCCAGAACCCCGAATTAACTCCGCCCTATTCACCATTCCTAAGTAAAGTATGACAGGAGGCCCAAACCGATAACCTGCCTAGGGTTCTGTGGGATACTTCCCTGCTCCAATATAACAGTTTCACTTCATGTGTTTTTGGTAAAGGACATCATTTTAAGAACATAGGTAGTTGTGATTAAACTGGCGAGCAAGATTTCCAGTTTTTGAATAAATTTTATGGTACTTGCACGTTTTGTCTGCTGAAGGCTAATAAAAAAAAATGGAAATGGAAAAATTCTGGGGATAAAACAGTTAAATTCTTTGTTATGCTAATACAGACTTCTGAATGCGAGGCCAGCTGATTAACACGCTTCATCCAAATGACGCAGCCACAAGCAGGAAATTAAATTCTGATTTCCATGCCTCAAAGCACAGTTATTTTGGTTTGAAACAGAGATTTCTGCCTGTGGACACCCTAATAATCACCATGGAAAGGATTAGCCATTATTTTGGCACCTCTGAGATAAGCATAAATTACCACCGTTCTGCTCTATAATCTGTAAACCTTATCCAACGAGAATCGTTGCAAAATAATACAACATTCTATAAATATTTTCTGAGCAAGCTGCAATTCAATTTTTACCATGAATATTGTATCAGCTGTGACAGAAATGTGTATAGATCCTCTCCTGGGGACAGATTATCACTTTATTGAAGGAAAGGCTTGTTACTCTGAATACAGTTTAATTTTTAAAATGGACAACTTGAACAATTGCTAAATAAAGAAATGAATAAGAAATGCTTACCTATGAATGATACATGCCATTCATTAAAAGGCTTGAATTCAACTAAGGAATTGCACTCACCCATACGTACAACCTAGGTGCAACTGAACATAAAGCCAGCACCAAGACCCAAAATGTAGTTTGTAGTCAAGAGAGGAGAAGACGGTCCAGATACTACCAAGGTTTAGAAAGGTAAATTTATTGGAACTCAAGTGTCCAGCACCAACGTTTCGACCAAATTGGAAAAGACTAATTTGGTCAAAACGTTGGTGCTGGACACTTGAGTTCCAATAAATTTGCCTTTCTAAACCTTGGTGGCGCCTTGACTATCTTCTCTTCTCTTGGCTACAAACGCGTTGAAAAACTGTCCACTTAAACATGATGAGTAAAAATGTGTTTGTTTGTTAGAATTATAACTTTGCTGCTGAGCTGGCAAAGAATTATGGGTGCTGTTTTACAACAGATGGACAACTTGAAGTCTATCTTCTGGCACATCTAATCAAGTATTGTCCTCCGGTACCCTCATTTCTTCATCAGCGTTTTTTCCCCCAATCACATTGCTCTTCTGCTGTGACATCACATTCTGTAATTACCCCCAATCACATTGCTCTTCTGCTGTGACATCACATTCTGTAATTACCCCCAATCACATTGCTCTTCTGCTGTGACATCACATTCAGTAATTACCCCCAATCACATTGCTCTTCTGCTATGACATCACATTCTGTAATTACCCCCAATCACATTGCTCTTGTGCTGTGACATCACATTCAGTAATTACCCCCAATCACATTGCTCTTCTGCTATGACATCACATTCTGTAATTACCCCCAATCACATTGCTCTTGTGCTGTGACATCACATTCAGTAATTACCCCCAATCACATTGCTCTTCTGCTATGACATCACATTCTGTAATTACACCCAATCACATTGCTCTTCTGCTGTGACATCACATTCAGTAATTACCCCCAATCACATTGCTCTTCTGCTGTGACATCACATACACTAATTAACTTGGAGTCATTCACCAATTTGACAAATACGTTTTTGGATTATTTTGGGGAATTTTCACTTACTCTTGCAATTTTGGGGATAAATTTGAAAGTCAGTGTTAACTCTATGTGCTTTGTTTTTCTAGACTGGACCTTGCAGAGAAATAACAAGTGAATTGTAATTTGAGGTCAGTAGTGGGGAAAAAATAGCTAGCTTAGCCTTTAAGGGCTAAAATGTGTAATCCTTTTGTCAATTCTTCACCGTTCCGAAATTAGGAATCGATCCCATAGTAAATATTCTTATGCTACAAAGAGGTTACTTGTTTTTTTTTTCAACTCAGCGCCCCTTGATGCCCCTGAGGGGGTTCACATTTATGTCTTTGGCGAGTGCATCGTGAAACCTTTTTATTACTGCAACACAGGATATAAGGACCTCTGTAAATAAAAAGCATGCATCAATCTCAGATCAGTTAACTGATGTACATATAATCCTTTATAACTAGCTATGGTAGTCATGGTCGCCCGCGCAATCGAGGGAAGAGAAAGTATCAGAGCTTCAAAGAAACTACCGACTGCCTGATTGGAATAGTAATATAAAAAATCCCAAGCGATGTTTCCTCTTTAAATACATTTCCTATAGCCTCTATTATCCAATTTATATTTCCTGTGTTCCATGTTAATAACAAAATGCAAACACAGTCTATGTATGGCATTGTTCCTCTTAACAATGAAGGGTTAAATGTCATGGATACATTTTTATTTAATTAGCTAGTAATAGCTTTAGCTCAGCCTATTCCAGTTTTAACCCTGTAATAGCATTTCTGTTCCATTATGGAAACCTGTTTGCTAAAACTACAAGTACAATTTTGGCCTATAATTCCCATTAAGCTTAGGAAGTGTCTGGATTAGGATAACAGGTGTTCAAGAGGACAGTAGACAGATTTCTGGAGTTTGGTATGTCAGTGAATCTCATTGTATACATCTTAAAGGGACACTATAGTCACTAAAACAACTTTAGCCTAATGAAGCAGTTTTAGTGTATGGACTACACTACAATGCTTTCCTATGGGGAGGTCTAATGCGCACGCTTGGCCATTGCCGCACATGCGCATAAGGTCTCCCCCGCTGGCGGACGTCAGTGGGGGAGGAGCGTGGGCGGAGCCTGACCCAGCGCCGAGGGACATTATTTTTCCTTTTTCTAAACACCTTACACCCTGTTCCAAATTATTATGCAAATTATATTTTTCTCATTTACCTAAATAATTGATAAATAACAGTCAATTGTAAATAACAGTCAGCATAATTCTCATGTTATCAACTATTAAGAGTACAATTCAAATTTTATTGAACAAACCTCCTAATGATAACAGTATTTTTTTTAACCCCTTAAGGACCAAACTTCTTGAATAAAAGGGAATCATGACATGTGACACACGTCATGTGTCCTTAAGGGGTTAAACATAAAAAACTTACAATGCACTGTTCCAAATTATTACGCACAGTAAGTTTCAAAACACTTATAGGTTGTAAAGAACTGAAAATTGTCATTTGTTGTGTTTGCAGCATATTTACTGAAATCAAAAGCTATTTCAATCAAACTTATAACAACATTTTAACTTTTGAAACATTTTAACAGGTCACGTTACATTTTAACATAGGACCCCTTATTGGATAGCAACTTCACAAGTCTTGCATCCATTGAACTTGTGAGTTTTTGGACAGTTTCTGCTTGAATTTGTTTGCAAGATGTCAGAATAGCCTCCCAGAGCTGCTGTTTGGATGTAAACTGCCTCCCACCCTCATAGATCTTTTGCTTTAGGATGCTCCAAAGGTTCTCAATAGGATTGAGGTCAGGGGAGGATGGAGGCCACACCATGACTTTCTCTTCCTTAATCCCCATAGCAGCCATTGATGCAGAGGTATTCTTTGCAGCATGAGATGGTGCATTGTCATGCATGAAGGTGATTTTATTACGGAAAGCATAGTTCTTCCTTCTGTACCAGGGAAGAAAGTGGTCAGTCAGAAACTCCACATACTTTGCCGAGGTCATCCTTACACCTTCGGGGACCCTAAAGGGGCCGACCAGCTCTCTTCCCATGATTCCGGCCCAAAACATGACTCCACCACCATCTTGCTGACGTCGCAGCCTTGTTGGAACAGGGTGGCCGTCCACCAACCATCCACTACTCCATCCATCTGGACCATCCAGGGTTGCACGGCACTCATCAGTGAACAGGACTGTTTGAAAATTAGTCTTCATGTATTTTTCTGCCCAATGCAGCCGTTTCTGCTTGTGAGCATTGGTTAAAGGACCACTCTAGGCACCCAGACCACTTCAGCTTAATGAAGTGGTCTGGGTGCCAGGTCCAGCTAGGGTTAACCCATTCTTTTATAAACATAGCAGTTTCAGAGAAACTGCTATGTTTATGAATGGGTTAAGCCTTCCCCCTATTCCTCTAGTGGCTGTCTCATTGACAGCCACTAGAGGCGCTTGCGTGCTTCTCACTGTGATTTTCACAGTGAGAGCACGCAAGCGTCCATAGGAAAGCATTCTAAATGCTTTCCTATGCGACGGGCTGAATGCGCGCGCAGCTCTTGCCGCGCGTGCGCATTCAGTCCAGGAGGAGGAGAAGAGGAGGAGAGGAAGCAGAGAGCTCCCCGCCCAGCGCTGGAAAAAGGTAAGTTTTTAACCCTTTCCCCTTTCCAGAGCCGGGCGGGAGGGGGACCCTGAGGGTGGGGGCACCCTCAGGGCACTATAGTGCCAGGAAACCGAATATGTTTTCCTGGCACTATAGTGGTCCTTTAATGGTGGCTGAATAGAAGGTTTATGCACAGTTGCAAGACTCTGGAGGACTCTACACCTTGATGTCCGTGGGACTCCAGAGGTACCAGCAGCTTCAAATATCTGTTTGCTGCTATGTAATGGTATTTTAGCAGCTGCTCTCTTGATCCGATGCATGGATCTGGCAGAAATCTTCCTCAATGTGCCTTTATCTGCACAAACCCGTCTGTGCTCTGAATCAGCCACAAATCTCTTAATAGTGCGATTATCACGCTTATGTTATCGTGAAATATCGAATGTTTTCATACCTCGTCCAAGGCATTGAACTATTTCACTCTTTTCGGCAGCAGAAAGATCCTTTTTCGTCCCCATATTGCATGAAAATGGTGCTCTGCTTAATAATGTGGAACACCCTCCTTTAGTAGTTTTTCCTTAAATTGGGCTCACCTGGCAATCTTCTAATTATCACAGGTGTCCGAGATTGTTTTCAGTGATCAAAAGAGCCCTGAGACACAAAGCCATCCATGAGTTAAATTGAAAAACAAAATATTTAATCTTTGTGACACAAATAGAATTTGCATAATAATTTAGAACAGAGTGTAGACACACCCAGGTAATCCCTAAATCCTGGACTGGTAGGGGGTCCTTGAGGACTGGGTTGAGAACCCCTGCACTAGAGGAACTTCCATGTTCTTAGAACACGAAAAGTGTTTTAAACTACGCTGGACGTCCTCACGCTATGCATGAGAAGCTCCAGCGTCGCCGGAATCCCCATAGGAAAGCATTGAATAATGCTTTACTATTGGGAGGTCGCATGCGCATTCGGTCTCCCCAGCCGGGGACATCGGTGCTGGATTCAGGTAAGTGGCTGAAGGGGTTTCAACCACTTCAGCAACATAGGGGGGGTGGGGAGGGGCAGGAGGGAGAGGGGCACTGTAGAATTCTCTGGATTTGTTTTCCTGGCACTGGAGAGTCCCTTTAACTTCTACCGTGTCTTTATCTGTACTTCTGTACTGTTTCAGTTACCATTATTTTCCTTGCAATGTTACAGACATTTTTTCCAGCTTAAGATTATTCCATTAGATGCATGTTTATAGAGCGCCTGGCTGCGTAGTACCCAGGAGATGCTGTTAAGTGCATGGTGTTAGGGGATAAGATGTTGCCACGCAACCACAGATGCTACAAACTCCTATCATAAGAAAGCCACGGCACCTGATTCCCAAAGCAGAACAAGGACAGAGGTGTAGGGAAATAGGCTCCTTATGTGAACAGGTGATCCTTTTCATTTTCAGTGTCTCATAAGTAGCAATCAAATGCAGGACAGGAGAACCGACTTAGACAATTGTGTTATGCTGAATTCTGTGTGGTTAAGTTGGTCTATTCACTAAACAGAGAATTGTGTTAACTTGAGAGCAGGTTAACATTTAGGCCAAAAAATTGTTTCGTTTCTTTCTTTTTTAATTCTCCAACTCGTGTTGCTTTTTTAATTCTCCAACTCATTTTGCTTATATTGTATATTCCCACAGGGGCTATGTTCCCTTGTGTCCTGTTTCAATACCTGTAAACTCACACGCTTTGGCTTAGTTACTAAACACTGAACTGTACTGAGCTAGAAATGAATTGCAAAACTTTGGAAACATTCTGCTTCTCAGCTTGGCTACTAAAGTCTAATTTTTGCTACATGGTTATCAATTCACTACAATATGTGTTTACTGAATAAATCCCACTGGGGCATGGAACCCCTGTACAAGAGCATTAAACCAATGAAACATAGAAGCAATGCTATATAAAGCCGGCTCTGTGTACCACGGCTCTGTGTGTCACGGCTCTCTGTATCACTGCTGTGCAGGTGCATTAGGTCTCCCCCGCTGGCTGACGTCAGCGGGGGAGGAGCGTGGACAGAGCCTGACCCAGCGCCGAGGGACATCGGCGCTGGATTCAGGTAAGTCACTGAATTCCATTGTGTGCCCTTGAGAAAGGCGGTTAGACCACCGAAACGCGCGTCCTTTTTTTGGGGGGGGTTTATTCCCACTATTTGGGAATTATGTGTATTTTGAATTTTCATTAAAGTTTATTTTAGTTATACATATATTTTTTCTATAAGCCTGTACATATGTTTTTCTAGGGGTGGTGCCAGTAGGAGGATTCCCCTCGTCTTTGTACGAGAGCATTTCTTCCTATTATTCTTCTCTCTAATTTATATTATATGTAGGGTTATGCCCTTTTTGCTACCCCTATAACCCATTTTGTACTCCTTGATAGAGTATGTTCTCTGCTCTGTAGTATTCTTTATATATAAAAGTCACTGAAGGGGTTTTAACCCCTTCAGCAACATGGGATGGGGGTGGGAGGGAGAGGGGCACTGCAGGGTCCAGCAGTGCCAACAAAACAGATGTTTTCCTGGCACTGGAGAATCCCTTTACGACTGTGAAGGCCATATAAAGGTCCTTAATGGCAGAGAACTGAGCACTTATAATACAGGGGCATGGTCTATATACCAAGTATCTATATACCAAAACCACTTCATTAAGCTAAAAGTTGTTTTTGTGATAATTTTTCAAGTATGTTTAATAGCTTAAAATCATGTTCACTGTGTCACTGTGAACTTGTAGAAGTGGTAGGATTTTAGGTACTTAGCAATATACTT